CCTATAAATGGAAATGGGATAAAATCGTAAAGCATAGAATTAAAGCGTAAAAGCGTAAGTTCTTTACGCATGCTCTAAAATAACTAAAAATATGTTAAGTACGACATATACAATGTAAAATATGAGTGCACGGAATTTAGAAAAGTTAATAAGTACCTGCAATTCATGCCCAAAGTAGAGCAACTTATAGCCTCTTAATAATAAGTTCATAAATCTTAAGAATAAGCCACCTTCCCCGTTATACTAATGAATTTTGGAAGAGCCTAGCTGGTGAAATTGATTACTCTATTGAAGCTGAGAATGCATCCAAGTACCCGGTATATATCATTCAATCTCAAATATCATATTGTTGGTAATTTACCATTAAAGTATACTTTTTATAATTAATGTCATGAAAAGAATACCCATTTAGTGAATTAAAAGCGTAAAAGCGTAAAGCTTTTAAGCTTTAAAACGCAATTTAGTCCGATTTTGTACACTAAAGTTTTTATGTGGAAACAAAAGCGTTTTGGTGATCTAGAAGCGTAAAACCGTAAGTTTTTAAGTTTTAAAGCGCGATTTTAACTGCATTGATTGCCACTTGTTGATAATGAATTGGTCTGTTATAAGGTAAAATAACAGTAAGGCATGGTAGTAGAATTCTTAGGTAACAGTAATTATGTTTTAGCTTTATATATAGTAATAATTGATTACGAGTAATTAATGAATAATTATATAGATCCCGATTATTATCATGTCAAGTGTACGTCTGATCTAGATGGACATGCATGTTCCAAAGGTTAATCACTACGTACATTTATAGACTCATAGCTTATCAGAGCATCTCCATCCTCGTAATTAATTAGCAATTTCTTATATAGATCCCACTGTCATATAAACCACTTAAGCAATAGCTCTTTCTTCCCTCAAAAAGCAATAGCTCTTTCAAATCAATCAGCAATGGTTTAGCCATATCTATTGTGGGGATCACGTATATATGTATGTATAAACAATTCTTCAATTATAAAAAATTAACATATCTAAACTTTAAAATTAAAAGAGAAAAGGTAAATACAATCCCAAGTGACATTGTAAGTGGAATTTCTTATTTAGCAAGATTGCTAAGTTAGTAATTGACTTCACATCCCTGCAATTAGCAATTTACGAACACATTCCACCTAATTAAGTTTTAGCAATTGCATATGAAAGGTGATGAAGGCGGTCTCATGCCTTGATTATGAGTGGTGGTAGTACTGTTTGTTTGGATGTAACGACGACGTACTAGATAGTGGTAGTAGTTTACGAACACGCACGACGAGGTCTCTCTGCTCATAGACAAGGTTCAGGATCTTACTCTTGATGTTAATAAAAGCTATAAAAAGCTATTCGAGATTCACTACATTCAGTGTCGTAGCCAGACTTTGTATTCATTGGGGCCTTTAAATATTTACTAATATTAAAGACTGTGCATCTAATGAACTTTAAGTTGATTGGGGTCCTTAGTTGAACTAGTGTAAAAAGTACCATTGGTCACTAAACTCATCAAATAGATTTAATTTGCCACTTAACTCATTTTTAATACAACTAAACCATTTTGGATTGATATATATGCCATTTTGGATTGGGGTTCTTATTTGTCTCCGATTAAGAGATTGTTATCTTCTTCTTTTATGTGCAAACAATAATGAGATTATGGGTTTGTGATGGAAGCAGATAAGAAGAGCAGTATGATAATTGGTGTAGAAGCAGGGGAAGAACAATTGATTGCTAGTTGCCTAGTTTGATTACAAACGAAGAAGAACGCGAGGGAAGATGACAAATGATATTATTGTAATTTGTGTTTTAAGGTTAAAATTTTGTGTTTCAATCTATACGAGTTATTTCTATTAAATCCTGCATACAAATTCCCTGGTATTTTAAACGAGAGATTTAATCAAAATTCCTCGTTATTAAAATCCCTCATCCAAACGACCTCTTAAATAATTGCTTGCAATGGATTGAAATTCTTTATGGAGAGATATCTGGGCACGCAAGGTCTCAAGTCTCCATTGTCTTTGATCTCTCTTGGCGTGCCTGATATTTGGGCGTCTTCCTCATCAACTCACTACTGTGCTCCTTCTTCGACCCCTCACTAGAGTGTTCATGTCCTTCGATATATAGGTAGGAGTTCGGTGATTGTTGTATAGTCAAATAATCATTTTGCTTTCACTACAAGCAGCATGGAGGGCTCTGAATCATGTTTGTCTTTGAGTGATGCTGTTTACACTAAAATAATTTTCATTAATTATTGTTTGTGTGAACAGCTTGGCCAATGTGTACATGAATGGTCTAATTTATCAAGTCAGGCCATAGGTATAATGGATGGTAGTGTCCAAATACATGGATACCGTCCAAAATCCATAATGGATGGTAGTGTCCAAATACATGGATACCGTCCAAAATCCATAGTGAATGGTAGTGTCCAAATACATGGATACCATCCAAAATCCATAATGGATGGTAGTGTCCAATGTAATGGATACCGTCCAAACCCTAATGGATGATGCTAGGGTATGGTGACCATTTAATATGCGTACCATCCATGGACTGTTGTCTTAGTCAACATGGATCCCATCCGATTTGTTTTGTGTACGGTGACCGTCCAGTGGTCAAGTGACATGAAGACGTGTCGAGGTGGTTACCAGAAGCAGCACTTGACTTGCAAAGAATGCTTGGGGAAGTTACTGGATGCTACGTGGAGCTGATTTTTGGGAAGAGAGAGAAAAGGCGGTTAGAGGGTGAGGCACAACAAAACTGGCAGCAAGACTCTAGACGAGGGACAGATAGATCATACCACAACAAGTCTCGTCAAAATTTATCTTTTCTCTCTAGAACAGTAACCGTAGCAGTAGCATCAGGGACCCTCCAACGAGGATTCTCTGTTTAGTTGTAGTCAGTAGTTGCGGAGCTCTCAAGGAATCTCCATAGGAGTAGAGGTAAAAGTAGCCAGTTCCTTTGATGTATGCATCGAACACCCTCGTTCGAATAGTGTTTGAAGAGGTGTGAACCGAGTAACATCGTTTTTCGTTTTCTTGAAGTCAGGGTGCATTGATCACGCGAAATTCCACCTGAAACATATGCCATTATCTGAACAATCTGATCGATCGCCCGGAACAGGGGTCCAATAACCCCCATCTCGTCACCATCCTCGTCCAATCAGATCGCCCATTGTCGGAAGTACATAGGCTCGGACAGCGACAACAACAATGCAGCTATGGATGTGTTTTTGGTAGGATCCGAGTGGAGAAGGTTGTACGAGTAGTCGGCAACTTGGGAGAGGTGACGGCCTTACTGCTTCGTAGTGAGAGGATTTGATTTTGAATACCATCGGTGTGCACAGGTGTAGAACAGAGAAGATAGCCGAGATGTAAGTACTAGAAATTAGTCTAAAAAATTGCAAACTCATCACAGTTATTTCCATGGTTATCACGGTGTTAGATGGATACTAACGGGAATGATGGATGGTACAGTTTTAGTCTGTGTTTAGTGGTTTAGTTGTATTAAAAATGAATTAAGTGGCAAACTTAAATCTATTTGATGAGTTTAGTGACCAATGATACTTTTTACTCGTTGAGCTAACATAGACGGAATTTTAGGGTCCTAAACTTAAAGCATCGTACTAAACTCTATGTATCTAAAGGGTTTTGATAAGGGTGATAGGTTTTATTTTGTTGTTATTAAGGTACTACTTAAGGGATTCGAACCTGGGACCTCCAGGTTCTAGGCTAGTGGTATTTTCACTAGACCAAGCCCTTGTTCGTTCTAAAGGGTTTTGTTGCTCAATCTTTTGCCAAGTGGGGTCCTACCTAGGACCCCTCTCCTTAATACCTCCCTCCGCCACTGACCACATCCAAACAAGAAGTACAAATAAGGAAGATTCATGCACAAACCGGTCGATATAAAGTATATTAGGTAAAACTTTGGGTCACCATACAAAATTCAAGAGCTGTAAACCCTACAAGATCTGCCTCTTACAATCTTGATATGAATCATACTAACTTTTAACATGATCATATTGGGATGATGTAACTCGTATAAGGCATAAGACCCGAGATTTTGTAGATTTTACTATTTTAGTTCTGTGACCTATCCGTTAAACAGAGAATGTCTGTATTTCGTTACAGTATTCGATGAAAGGAAGAAAAAAAATCGTGCAAGTACTAAGTACCTATAGCTGAGCATGGGCCACGGAGCCTTGTGCTAATGAGTAATGTCCGCCGCAAGTTTGCGTCCTTGCACCGACCTACCTGGGTGGACATATAAGCCCATGGGTTCTCCCATGTGGAGCCTCCGCCTACCAGCTGCACTCAGATCCAATTGTTTGGGCCCTATCTGATGCTTTAAAGCCCAAAACATTATCCAACTCATGAGTGACAATATTATTAATTTGATTAGTAAAGTAAGAAGTTCTTCTGTGAACGAACCATCGTGCGCCCAGGAAGCTTTCACCACACATTGCGTTCAGACATGGCTAAACTCCCAACTAACGTACTATATGGGAACTGTTTGCACCAGTCAGATCGAACTCTCTCCAGTCTTGCTTCTTCAAATGATGTAACCCATCACCAACTTCCACACCCAACCAAACCCATATGCCATTCTGCTTGTGATTACGAATTTACGACGCATCCATTCTTCCATAAGCCAAAATACGGTTTGAATGTTAAAAGGGCTAATACCACTACAACACCCGAACTATCCGGAAAATGCCACTTGTGTCCTATTGTTTCCAATATTTCATGTGTCCTGAACTATTATTCCGTTAGTGTTGACCGACATTAATCGTTAGTATTTAACTGAAAATCCAGTCAGCGTTGACGTGGCGTCTGACTTGGAATTTTCATTTATTTTTCCATCTAAAATAATTAAATTATGGAAAATTACAAAAATAAAATAATAACTCAAATCAATTCACTTTCTTTCTCTCCAACTTCTGAAGAAAAATCCGCACCTTCTCACCAAAACTTCAATCAATTGCATCTGATCCGTCGTCCGTCGCCTCATCTCCGACCGTCCTTTTCCTTTGATCTCCGATGAACCCCCATCGGCGACCCTGCTTCTCTAGCCCTTTCTCTCTCCACAGGTATGTCTCTCCTCTCCTGCACGATTCCCCTGTTTCAATGGAATGGAGGTGGAGGAAGACACAGAGAAGCTGGCGGAGTGAGGAACGCAAGGGAAGGAGGAGTAGCCCACCAACTCGCCTCCGCCGCCGCAACTATACCAAACAACCCGCCGCTCCAACAAACCCTAGAAGGTTCCCATTCCTCTTCTCCTCTCTTGCCACAAATCTTATCGGCGGCGGCCTGGCAGGACATCCACATCAAACCGGAATCTCATCAATTCCCGATCCCATCACCCCTCTACCACCACCCTCATCCACCGTCGCACCACCTCTCCACCACCGCGCTCCTCCAGAAGGCCTCCACCCTGGCCGCAACTCAGGCCGCCGCGGCGCAGACCCAGATGTCGCTTTACAAGGGACTTCCTCGGTTTGACCGGCCACGAAGACCGCCGAGGAGGCGGAAGCAGCCGAGGAGGCGAGTTGGTGAGCGGCGGCTTGAAACATCGAGCTTTGAAATCCGGATCTGGAAAGAGAAAAAAAAACATTTCCACTTCTGGACGACTGCAAGAGGCGATCGAAGCCAAGCGGTGACAAAGAGATGGAGATGAACTTGCGGGCAGAGGAAAGATAGATCTGGAGATGATTCGGCGACTTGTGGAGATGTGGCAGAGCTGGAGAGGTGAAAACTTGCCGCTTGATTTCTCGGCGTCTTTCCACACACTCGTCGCTGACAGCCGTCGTCGAACGGGAGAAGGCAGGCGTCGCCGAATCCAATCAAGGAGAGCTTCACTGTCGTTTGGGTTGCCATTGTAGAATGGGAGAAGAGGAAGAAGCAGAGATGGGGAGATTGGGAAGGGCGGAGCAATTTATTTTTTAATTTCTAAGAATTTAGTATTTTTTGTATTATAGTTATTATAATTTTATTAAAATAATTTTATTTTTAATTAAGTAATGACATGTCAATGAGGTGGCATCTACGTGAATGCCACTTTTCTGCCACATCGACGAAAGTCAACACTAGTTTGACTTCCGTCAAGTCAACAGTTATCTTTAACGGTCAACGTAAGACGCCATGACACAAATGTCACAAACTCATATAGTTCAGGACACAGATGGAATATTGGAAACAATAGGACACAAATGGCATTTTTTGGATAGTTCGGGTGTTGTAATGGTATTAGCCCAATGTTAAAAACATGTTCGTACTCTCGGCTTCGTACATAAGTTACAACAAGCATGGCTCTTGTTCATGAATATACCAATACATTTACATCTAGTTCAACACCTAAATGCGGTTTGGTTGCGATAAAATTACATATATGGACACATAATGCCCACCTAAAATGATAGAGAAACGAAAACAAAAACAGATCACCCAATATCTGCTCATTCCCTAAACCTTTTTCCTACCTGTCAAAGCCAAGAACCAGAAAAATTTGAACATAATAGGTGGATGGAGGAGGGACAGACAGACGGAAATGGCCAATAGTCTGCAACCCTAAAATCACATTTTTCGTCCCGTCGAATCACATATACGAGTTCTCCTAAACAAAACCTTTTCTACAGACCTTAAACCACCCCAAGCCCCTTCCCCATATATATATATATTAAACCGAAAAATCGCAATAGAGCAGATTACCTTCATCCTCGAAAAAACTCCCTCCGCCAAACCCCCAAAATCAATGAGAAGAGCATCGTTCTTCTGTTGTCAAGCATTTATTTCGGAGTTGCATTGATGCTCACGGCTGCAGCTTCTTCTGCTCCAAAACATGTTCGAACATGTAGTCTTCTCCAGCCTCGTCCCTTCCAGTTTATCCTGGTCCCCACTGGGCGCTGCTGCGTGCGAGCCACGTGGGGATGATTCAGATGTTGATTCGTCGGCTGACTCGGGTTCGAACGGAGGGCAAGGGCCGTCATTGCAGGTGCACAACGGCATTGCCACGGATGGGAAAGGGCTGCAGGTGACTGGGCAGAGGTATTCTGAAGATACTACTGCAGCCACACGGTTCTTTCGGATCTCGGGTACACACGCTGCTCGCTGGTCGTCACGAGGGTGAAGCATGCAAGGGGTGCACAGGCCGAGTGACATGGAAAGCTGCTTCAGTTCTTTTGCTGGGGAGCCTGGCAATTTGGTGAAGGAGACGATTCCATTTCTGCAGAGTGGACACGGGATGGAACCAGGTGGGCCAGCTGTTTCAGTTGGCATGTTGCTCGTTGAGCACAGGTAAAGTGCACATCTCACACAAAGCTCATGCCCACAACCTGCACGCATAGAATTTAGTAATTAAGACCAACAGTTAAAAACTTCTCAGCTTCTTCTTTCCGCTGAGGGGCAAACCATGTTCTTTGAATGAAAGATGAGACTAAAGAAGCTATAAAAAATTCTTCAAAACACACACGTATTAAGCTTTTATTAAAATGGAAAAGGACAATGGGAACATTTGGTCTCCGGGATATTGTTAACTTGTCCATTCTCCGTTACTGACGAGCATTCCTTGTCATATTAGGATGCAACAGCAGCCTTATCAGACCAAAGAAAATGAAAATCAGATTTCAGTCAGCCTCCAGTATATAGTGAATAGTAACACTAGACGAGACGTGTTTCTGATGATCCTTAGTGAACAAGCTCAACTATTAGGTAAAACTTATTTTTATGACAAGGGACTATTAGGTAAACCTTGCCCTCGTTATTTGCCGTAAAGTATATGCTTGTTTTCTTAATTCCTTCCATATAGTTGTTCATTTGTGTTCTGAACTTATGCCACTGTTCTGGGCAGCATCTGATCAGCATACTGCCCCTAGGGTTGCAGGGGAAGAGAGGCCAATTGAATTATTATACAAGGAGATGCAATGTAGACAGAGAAAAAGGCAGCAAAACCAGTAATATTTCATTGGAAAAAGATATACAACCAAATAGAGAAAAACAAACCTTCAGCAGTCACATTACAGTGTCTCTCTAGGCAGACAGCACAAACGTCTGGATCATCAGAGGACGTCGCGTATTGCATCCCGAACTCTCTATAGACAATTAGTCAGAATATGCGGCTTACTAACTTCCTCAGAAAAGATCAGTACAACATGCATATCACAAAAATGCACTTAATAAATTGCAGTAGTACCTTGCTATGTTAAGCACACTTAGAAGGGGCAAGGATAAGTAGCACGATTGAGGGAATCGTGGGATGATAGAATCCGAATTTGGTGTCAGCAATGGTTCAAGCCAATGACGGCCCCACATCCTAGCCACATCGACAGGCAGCCACCTGAAAAGCGAGACAGTCTTGCTTTAGACCAGAGCAAGTGCACTAGGTGAACAAACAGTACACACAGTAAATGGATACTGACCCATTGCAATTCAATGAAATCCGACTGGCACCTCTTGCTAGAAGGATCTGCAGAATTGGGGACACAGTTATATCACTTCTCAGGATCTAATCATATGTTTGAAAGCTTGCATTTTATTAACCTGGCAGCACTTTAAATTGCCCCCGCAAGCAGCATAATGCAAAGGTGTACTCCCAGCTCCTGCAATCATATACTCACGACTCGTCAGACAAACTTCACAAGGGAAATCAGTGAAGCAATGACTGTTCAGACAAAGACACAAGACGTACCAATTAGATCCATCGTTGTTCCGTAATGAAATGTCACAGCTGAAACATTTGCATGAAGGTCAAGTAAAAGCTGTACGCAGTCGAAATAGCCATGCAATGCAGCCATGTGAAGAGCAGTTATACCACCATCCGCCGCCTTATTTACAAACTTGGACAGTGCGCTGCATCAGAATTTCTTGGTAAGTCCACTACTACTGAGTAATCCAAAGACTAGTAAAGTTGAAAGCACCCTCAAACCCGGAGAGAGATTCCCTTGCACTAGTTGCACTCCTACTTGAATGGGGAACACAAAGTCATTACACATTTTTAATCAGAGAACTCGTGAACGCTATGGTTTGAGTTTGACAGATGGTTTTAGTCGGACCTTGTCTTTACAGTAGCAGACTCTCCTGCATCATTTACTGCCCGATCACAAGCAAGAACAAAAGGAGCACTAGGAACAAAATCAGCAACAACTAGTCTCAGACATCTTGCATGGCCATTTACAGCTGCGAAATGAAGGGCAGTCCTTCCACTTAGATAATCCGCTCGCGTAACCTACAAATTCCAACCCAGCTCTGAATGATACTGTAAAAGAAGCAAGAAGGAAGATCAGGGGAGAGACAAGAAGAAAGCTCTTACATTGCATCGGAAAAGAAGAAGAGTCTGTACAACTTCCCAGTGTCCATATCTACAAGCTTGCATCAATGCCGTCTTCAAAAACAGAGCAACAACAAGACGATAATAAGAATGCTGTTGCTAAACGGAAACAGAGCAAACATATCCAAGAATTGAATTGTCTAATTCATTACATGCCCCCGGAGAGAAACGATTCCATTCATCGATTATATAGTTTCCCGATTGCTGCCATTTCGTAAGCTACCGCGGTAAGATTCGGATTTCCGAATTTCCTAATTAGGTCGTCCGAAGCGATCAAATCTCACGCAAACTCGATTCAGCCGAATCCGATCACTCTTTTCACCTCTAAAGAAGACGAATCTTAGAACGAGAGAGGAAAGGTACCTACCTGGCCACAATAATTCCTGGAGTTCACGTCGGCGCCATTATCCAGCAGCAACGCCACAATCTAAAAAAATGGCGGAGATATCAAAGACAATCAACAAGGACGGAAAATTTCCACGCCCTAAAATATTCACACGCAAAAATCGAACGAACCTCGTTGTGGCCTTTAGCTGCGGCGAAATGGAGAGGGGAGTTGAGGCCGCCGAAGGTGGAGTACTTGGCGAGGCAAGGGTTGCAATCCAAGAGCATCTTGGCCTCGACCAAATCGCCGTCCCTCGCCGCCGACACCAGCCTCTCGCCGGAGGCGGAGCAACCGAACGAATTCCCCATTGCCGAGACAAATACAGACACACGCACAGCTCCTCCTCTTTCTTTCTTTCGCACTCACTGTCTCTCTCCGGACGGGAGGAATATGCTAGGTAAACCGCCCGCAGGCCGCAGCAACAACAAGCTCTCACCAGCGGACCAAGAAATTCTTTCTCACGCAGCTACGGAACACACAAAGGCCAAATCTAACTCCAACCTCCATTAAAATACCTCTCTCTCTCTCTCTCTCTCTCGCACAGTATTGCGTGTGACCTCATTCCCATTTCTTGATTTTTTCCTTCCTTGAATTTGTTTTATGTTATTGCCTTAAATTCTTTTTTCGGCAATGTGGTGACGTGTCATTTTGCCGCGGGATAAGGGCAAATGGAGAAGAAAGCGGGTGCCATAATTTGTTACTTTTATTAAAAACTAGCTATTTTAAGTGAGTTAGAGCATGAGAGCATCTATTTGAGTCGAACTTACAATTTGGGTCTATTTGAGTCGATATAATTATACATATGAAATAATAATATAGACCATCTAGTTATATAGTAAAGAAAATTTCAAAATTTACTTTGGGTGTTCAGTTGCTTTTGGGTAGTTAGTGTAATGAATATAATTTAGACCCAAACTAAATGGTTGTTTATTGGTATGATCCATATTTGAATTACCAAATAGGATTTGACCGGTAATAAATTGGGTTTGAGATGTATGTTTTTTGTCATTCATAGAGGAGGGAATTTTTAAGGCCTCGTTTGACATTAGTTGTTCAATCACCACCACATCCACCGCTAAGGTATCACTTACCCATGAGACTTTTTAATTTATTCCGAAATGAGATGATCTAAATTCCTTAACTTTTGGGTTTCAAATTAGAAAATTTGCAATCACTTATTTACATAGTTTTCATCTCCTACTTTTAAATGCGCGAGATTTAAAGTTTCTTTATCTAAATTTCATAGCAAACTATGAACATGAAAATAGAAGTAGAGGCGAGTAAACAACTAATGATCACAATTCTTGTAGTTTTAGTGGTATGAAAATATATTTGAGCTCATAGATCAATTACGTGCATCTCATCTTTCATTGAAAACTAAACGAAATTTAGAGAGTCATTCATTGTTATATAAATGTATTTGAGTAAAATATGTTTGTGTTAGGGGTAAAGGTCGAGAAGGCCACGCGACGCACTTAGGCTTTCCGCTCAATTACCCAAAAAACCGCGCTACTCCGATATGATCCCCGGAACTGCCAATCGCGGATCCCGCATAAAGGTTCCGCGTAACTGAATCCGCGGAAGGAATGCCTATGGGCCTGCGTATTTGTCTCTGACCACCTTGTCTTGTCATCGGGATTTGCCCACCAAACCCAGAGAGACTATAAATACCACATTTACTACACTTAGAAAGAGGACTTAGGGGTTCTCTCTCTACCATTCTCCCTAGATTTTCCCCTTGTAACCTCCCAATTGCAATCTCTCCCTCAGTATACATTCAAAGATTAATCTGGAATCAATAGGGGTATTTGTTCTCTTGTCGAATCTACGTTAAGTCCCCTGAATTACCGTGCAAACCTCCTACTCTCAGTCTCGCACAAACAGTTTGGAAACTGATATTGCATGCATTTCCAAAGGTTAGTAGTGAATAAGAGAGTATATATATATGGTGGCTTCTATCGTACCTTGGGTAAAATCAAGAGTACGACATATCCTGAGTAAGAAAATGCTATCTAGACATCGAATTAACCAGATTTTTGGACATGATACTATATCCTAACCCTTGATCGGTGGACCTTTAATAATATGTGTAGATGTAGATAGATGTGTTCAACCAGAAATCATATTACAAGACCATCCACATCCATAGAATCAATTCCTATTTCATAAGTGACCCCTAGTGTCACATCACCAACTTTTACAATTTAACCTCATACCACTTTCATTTTCTCTACATCAATGAAATCCACTTTTTATTTCATATGGAGACTCCAAAGTGACTTTTTAATACAATTATAATAAAAATATAATCTGTTACAACCAACAAAAGACAAAACAAAATGAGAATGGTAAAAAAGAATTAAGGAAAATAGCATATAAAACGTGGGCGGCCCCACTTGCCATTCCATTTGGTATTTCATAAAATGTAAGCTCCCACTATATGAAATAGGTTCCGCAACCATGAAATAGGAAGATGCAAGTGCCACATCACAATGGAAGAGCTGTATGACAGCCGTTGCGGAAACTCTAAGCTAAATCGGTAGATGGTATTTTGAAATATAAAATGATTGAATCATGATTAACTACAATTTTAACATAAAATACCATATCTTATCGATCCTTGCTTTTTAATTTATTTTAGAGATAATAATTGCCATTTTGTCCCATTTTGCCTATAATCTATTGTTGTTATTCTATCCATTTTATTTTAATTATTATTACGGGGTTGGTGTTCACTTTTCAGCAGAGAATTTCAGTACATGTTTGTTTCTGTGCATATTTAGTAGATTACAGCTTCAGATGACTGCTGGGGATCAAGATAACAGCAAATATCAAATCATCAAACCATCAGAGATCAAACCTGACCACAGGCTTCTGCATTCACGGTCGTAGTAATCATATTGAACACCAGAAGGCTTTTTCAAAGCATGGGCCAGGCCGCACGGGTTTCGTCAGGTGGTAGAGAGGAGTAAGTGAAGATTGAATCAGACGGCAGATAGAGACATCAAAATCAAATGACTGCTGCTAGCTGAAGGGTTTCACGTGATAAGATATTTGATCAGGTGAGGACAAATACACGCCGGATTAGGTCAATTTGTTAGAAGAAAATACTTCACAATGGAGTTCTTTTTTCCTTTAACATTGGTGAAAGTTCGGTGAAAGAGTATATCGAATGCCTGTCTGCTCCGACGTAGTTAAAGACTTGAGAAATAATAAGTCCACGCCGAAGTCCCAAACTTTGGATGAGAGGAGTTCAAATCTCTCGTTTAAAAAATCAGGTTATTTAGTTGTAGAATTTTGAAGAAATATCTTGTTTGACTATCGATCCAGAATTTTAATTAAAAACTTGAAGTTCATTTTTGCCATTCTTCTTCCTTTCTTCCTCCGCTTCTCCTCCATCACCGGCGCTGGTCCACAACCTTACCCAAACCCAGAAAACACAGTATTCCAGTCACTCATCTTTAGCCACCGCCACCAAATCTCAAACCCAAAGTCCACCAAGCTAGACCCAAATCACCACCGATTGGAGAGATTGCATGTCTGCGGAGAGAGTTGGGTTCGTCGACGAGGTTTTGTGAGGAATAGTGTGTAAAATACGATGATTGCGGAAACGAAAGAACACGAGGATTTACGTGGTTTCCCCGTTCATAACCGAACGGGACTAGTCCACGGAGAGCTCTACGCTCTCAGAGATGAAAATTATTTCTTATGTTCACAGCTCTTGGTCTGCGGCGCATACAGGGAACAAATATATATGGTCTAGCTAGCTTCATCACCGTGCAACGTGAGGCTAGGGTTTAAGACCTAGGAAAGAAACAGAAATAGTCCTCAGGAAATAAACTATGTACAAAAGAGCCTCAACACTCCCCCTCAAGCGAAGGAATGGATATCGAGAAGACCGAGCTTGCCAAAGAGATGATGAAATTGATCGACACTCAATCCTTTGGTGAAAATGTCAGCTGGCTGCTCCGCAGTAGGGATCTTTGCCGGAGCAATCTCGCTAGACTGAACACGTTCGCGGACAAAATGGCAATCCATCTCAACGTGTTTAGTACGCTCATGGAAGACAGGGTTGGCCGCGATATGGAGAGCAGCCTGATTGTCACAGTATAAGGGAGTGGGACGTGGAGAAGAAACCCCCAAGTCACGCAGTAACAAACGGAGCCAGAGGACTTCACTAACCGTGTTTGCCATCGCACGGTATTCAGCTTCAGCAGAAGAACGGGCAACGACTGTCTGTTTCTTGGTACGCCAGGAAACCGGAGACGAGCCCAACATAATGAAGTAGCCTGTGGTCGAACGTCGAGTGAGAGGGCATCCAGCCCAATCTGCATCACAAAAGGCCGTCAGAGTAAGAGAACTAGAGGTAGGGAAAAACAAACCGCGACCCGGTGCTCCCTTGAGGTAATGAACAACACGAACTGCAGCATCCTCATGAGCTCGAGTAGGGGACTGCATAGCCTGACTCAAGAGATTAACTGCATAGGTAATGTCCGATCGTGTGACGGTGAGATATAAGAGACGCCCCACCAACCGTCGATAGGCGGCAGCATCAAGGGCAGGAGGAGAAGCAGCACGTCCAAGATGATGTTGTTGCTCGATGGGTGTGGAGCAAGGCTTAGCTGCAGTTAGGCCGGTATCAGCAAGGATATCCAGAACATACTTCCTTTGATTAAGTACAAGACCACGGGCCGAGCGGGCAACCTCAATTCCAAGAAAGTACTTGAGAGGGCCAAGGTCCTTGATAGTGAAACGGTCGTGAAGGAATGCCTTAACACGAGTGATGAAGGACAAGTCATTGCCAGTGAGGATGACATCGTCAACATAAATAAGAGCAACCACAAAGCTAGAACCCTGACGATATGTGAAGAGAGCATGATCAGCACGACTCTGAACAAACTTAAACTCCAACAAAGCTTGAGTAAACTTTTGATACCAATTTCGAGAAGCTTGGCGAAGACCATAGATAGATTTGTGCAAACGACAAACCCGAGTGTCACCAGGCTGCGAAATAACAGGAAGGACCTTCATCTAAACCTCCTCATCAAGTTCACCATGAAGAAAGGCATTATTAACATCCAACTTATGGATATGCCAACCACGGGTAACTGCAACCGCAAGTAAACAACGAACAGTGACCAGTTTGGCCACAGGAGCGAAGGTATCGTGATAGTCGATACCCTCAACTTGAGTGAACCCTTTAGCAACGAGACGCGCTTTATAGCGCTCAACTGAACCATCAGGATTAAACTTGATTTTGAAAACCCATTTGCCCTCAATTGCCCGCTTGCCAGGAGGTAAGAAAACAAGAGACCACGTACCATTGGCCTCTAACGCCGAAATCTCGGCCTTCATGGCCACCCGCCAGTGATGATGGCGAACAGCCTGATGAAAATAAATCGCCTCATCAACGACAGAGACAACAGCAGCAAAAGCACGTTGCGACGGCGATAAACGATGATAGGAGAGGTAATCATCGAGAGGGTAAACAGCCGTGGCCGAATGCGCCTTGCCGTGCAGGTTCACGTCATAGTCTTTCAGACGTGTAGGAGGAACACGAACTCGGTCACTCTTCCGAGGTGGGGGAGCAGGAACGGGAGGA